CGATGGGCCACAAAAATATGATCAGGAAAAACGTTCCTGGCTGTTCAGATTTTCCGGGCGCAACCCCTTAACACGCGCAACCGCTTAGCCAAGTGTCAGCCTTCCTCTGTTCACGTTGACTCAAAAATCCGCGGCAAAAGTAAACACAGTTGCACGTGCCAGCCTGTTTACTTACCCTTGCGGAAATGCAGGTCAAAGTAAACACTTCAAAACGCAAGCTTGTCCCCTACCCCCAGCTACTTGTTTGCTACATGTTTCATTGCGGGGCCTTAAGGGAGTAGCCTTGAGGCTGGGACACATCTTTCTCCACGGTCATTGACCAAAGGGAATTATCTGACCGTGTATCACCTCTCTCTTGGTCCCTCCCTTCCGTCGTTGCCAAGTGAGTGATAGGAGAGAACGAATGCAGGTACGAAGAGACGAAGGAACGGGTCGCTTCTCTCCATCATAATCTTTTCTCCATATCTTGTCTTGGCTTCCAGCCGCTTTCTCTTCCCTCACTATCTCCTCAGTCTCTAGAATAGACACGTCAGGAGATAGAAGGGATAGCAAATAAAATACAAAAGGGACAGATAAATAATAAAAGACTAGAAAGATAAATGACCATAAGATTTCTATAAAATGCCAATAATAAAGTTGTAGATTATAAAATATATGAACTTCCAAGATTCTAAAGTTTACAAAAAATAATAAAAAAGCAAAAGAAATAAATAAAATAAAAAGAATAATAAAAGATTAAAAAGGAAAGAAACAAACAATATAAGATAAGCAAATAAACATAAAGAAAAGAAAAAGATAGGAAAGTTATTCCTGATCCAATAGATGACAGGTAATTCCAGGAATGAAAAGAATCTGGAAAGGATTGGATTTTTCTTGGCATAACATTAAATCCTAAGAAATGCATTGGGGAAAAGGTAAAAAGAATAGCAATAAATATTAAATTGCAATGATAAAGAAAGAGTGTACATGAGGATGAAAGTAATAAATTCTTAGTACCAACAATCTTATCTCCATTGAAGATTATTCCAGAAAAGATAGCAATTATAGCTCCTAAAGAAAGAACAAAAAAATGTGCTACAACATAATATGTATCATGTAATCCTAGATCCACTGCAGCATTTCCTAGAATTATTCCTGTTGACCCACCTATAGTAAACATTAATAAAAAGAGAAGAAAGAAGAACACAGAAGTAATTCTAAGGTGTAATAAAGATGGATGGGAGAGATATGTAAAAAGCCAATTAAAGATTTTTGTACCAGTTGGTAAAGATATTAAGATTGTAACTCCTGTACAATAAGCTCTTGTATCACTTTCTAAACCTACAGTATACGTATGATGTCCCCAAACAAGACTTCCAAGAAGAGAAATAGATGACATGGCAAAGATCATTGATTGCTTAGCATATCCGCCTGGGTCGGGGCCAGCGGGGTGACGTCCGCCAAACAGTCCGTCCAGTGGGCGTGGCGTTGGCAACAGGATCCGAGAAAGCATCACCATCGATCAGAGCCCCAACTCCGGGCGCGACAACGCCTGCGCGGCTTAGCGCTTGCAGAGCTCGCTCCCGGGCCGCCCGCGCGTGTGGCGGCGGACCGGGATGTGATTCACCAGCCGGGCGCCGGCCCACCGCCACGCGCGCAGCCGGCAAGGGGAAGCAAAGCCCCATGCTTCGGGGCGCCGCAGCGGGGGGGATCCAGCCAACCCGCACCAAAGGCGCTGACGCGGCGAGCGTCCGCCAAGGACTTGCAGAAGAGAGGGCGCGCGGGAAAGGCGCCAACGTGGCGCAATGGGTGCATTAATGCTCAATGGCCCAGCGAGCGCTCAGCCGCTGATGCCGCTGGCCACTGCCGGGTGACAGCTGCGCCTGGAGTTTGCCGAGAGATGCAGCTTCCCTGCCGTCAACACAGTGCGGGTGAGAAGTGCTCGTGCACGCCCTTCAGTATCTCACACAGACTTCGCGCGGTGTCCGTTGACAGGGTTGGGGCACAATGTGAGTCGGTTTGCTATGCCCCAAACTCGACCGGAAACGCCTGAAGCTCGTCATGTGGTGCCTTACGCCCGTTTGTGGCACAGCACTCCGTCCACGTATGCGTGGACTATCAGCAACAATCGCCAACACTGAGAAACGCAAGGGGCTGTGAACAGCGAGGATCCCCTCATGCCAGCACTGCTCTCCTTAGGGTTGCGTCGTGCCCAAGCCACGCAGCCGGGGCAGCGCATGTTCGCGTTCCTAGACGACTTGTACATTGTTGCCCCTCCACATAGCCCACATCTTGTTTGCTGCAGCGTCCCAGCGCTTGCACCAAGAAGTCCGCATCTCCCTGAACCAAGCGAAACCTGAGCGTGGAATGCCGCAGCTGCAGAGCCTATTGGCGTTGCCACTCTTGCGCCTGATGGCTCATCATCTTCCAAGTCGAAGGGAGCAGCGCACATCTGCTTAATGTACTTATGGTTGGTGGCTTTGTTTGGGTTCAAAGCTGCCCGAGCGCCTGTTTGTCTTCGACGTGCCGCCCTCGGAGCTGAATGGACTCAAACAAGGGCTCCTTCCTCATAATATATAAACGCAAGGGCTGGCAAACTCATGCGGCACAGAACTGGCTGCTCGTGCAGATAGCTTTCTGGCCCAAAATGCGACGGCCCGCCGCTCGTGGATCGGTCGCGTTGGTACCCGGGCTTCTGCGCTTGGTGCTATCGCTGGTGTGCGCTTTGCTGGGCGTTGGATTTGCTTGGGGTCTGCAGAGGGATCCTTTGTAGGTGCACCGATCGCCGCCATACCGCCTGCAAAGAGCGGCCGTGCGGGAGTGTCGCAATTTCTGCAATTACTGGGACAGCAACCGCAGCCCGTACAAAACCTGAGCAAGGGTGCCAAGCGACGATGGCATGTTGGCCCAACTCAGGGACTCGCTGCCTGGAGGGCAGGCTGGCGCTCAGAGAGCCCGTCCGATCGGATGGCAGCTGGTACCGCTATTGCGCGTGGCGCGATAGAAGCAAAGCGTTCGACGCAAGGGGTATCGCTCTCAGGCGCCTCTTCGGCCACTTCATGCTACCAGCCACAGCAAAACTGAAACCCAAAGAGCGACGCTTGCAACATGTTCGAACATCTGAACGGCACCATTTGCTTACAAACCAACAAGTGCACGGGACAAGTCCAAGATACCGTCGATTCTTTGCACCAGGCGCAAAAAGATGGATGCGTCGTCTTTTGACGGTATTTTTTTGGACGGAAACCAAAAGCAACTTGTTTCAAAAATGCCGACTAACAACAGCTTGCGCGGCCCAGGAGGACAACCCCCCAGGGAATTGCTGCTGACCGAGCTCACGCTACGTGCGCTCCTCTTGCCACAAAATGGGGGAGGCAAACACACACAGCGCAGCCCGCGTTCGAGGCCAACTCAAAATAGTGAGTGGTACACAACCCCAGCCAAATACAAAAGGGTCCAACTCACAACATATTAATATGTATCAGCACCGCTCCTTTGCAAGCGGACCACCCCAGCCACGAGCACCCAGTTTGCAGAGTGATCAGAAAGACTGAGTTGGTGGTTTGAGCAAACCTAGATTGTGATGGTGGCATCCTCCGTCTCGGAGCTCTATGCCAAAACTCGCTCTGCAAACAATGACGACGGTCGGCATACCTACCCCACAACACAATCGTGACTGCAAGGGTTGCACACCGACCTTCCAATTCTGGACTGTCTGTCTATGAGGGCGTGACTTGTTGGCGGCCGACTTGTTGGATGAGCAAGGAAGCAATCGTGCGACATCGCGAGCGTACTTAAGAAGGCAGGCGCAATGCCGGTTAGTTCAAATCCCGGGCAAACTGAACGGCATGCAAGCTTGTTTGAGAGAGCGGCGGTCTTCAATCCTAGCGCTGGATGCTTCAATGGTGGTTTGGTTGCGTGGCTCATCGGAGCGCATCCAAATACAGCGCGAGCACAGTCACACAAGAAACAACCAATCACCAGCACAAGCTCACACACAAACAAACAAACAAACAAACTCACACACGCACGCACAAACAAGCCCAAAAAAAACAAACCAAATCAAGCCAAACCAAACCAAGCAAGGCCACTGGCCAGACAACCACGCACACAAAAAAGAAAGACTCACGCATACACACGCACATGCACGCATGCAATTCAACGTACGAACGCAACTCAGCACGCAAGCGCACACTAAACAGGCATGTGCGTGCGCCCACACCCACACACACTACACACACACACACACACACACACCCACCCACCCACCCACGCACGCACGCACGCACACGCACACGCACACGCACACGCACACGCACACGCACACGCACACGCACACGCACACGCACACGCACACGCACACGCACACACAGGCACACACAGGCACACACAGGCACACACAGGCACACACAGGCACACACGCACATGTGCACACGCACGCACGCATACGCACGTGCGCTAAATGCAAACGACACAAAGCTGCTATACACAATGTAGTATACACACAGCCTAAGCCATAACACTACACAGGACCAGGCCAAATGCCCCTGGCAAAACTCCATCCGGCAAGACTTCTCGTGGGCGGAATCGCGCATTTTTTTCGGCGTGCTCGCACTGAGTGCGTAGCCAGCCGCAATAACTCGCTACGGGCTCTCATCGCGACGCAGAGCCAACTGATGTTGACCCAGGATTAATGTTGACCCGTCCCATTAGTAGGGCGTTGTTCCCTCGAAAAGTGGTCTGAATCCCCACTAAAACGGGACACCCCCCAATCAAAATCAACCAGGGGTTTGTTAATCCGGGGTTAACATTACCGGATGATTCCGGCCCGAGCATCAAACTTTGAGCTACAGCTGTGAATGCATTTCTTGTGCCCAAAAGATTTTATGCTTTTGTAGTCTCTGTCTGCTGCGTGGCTTCTCAACTCTCTCACGGCTGTAGCTCGTAAATGAAAAAACATGCAATCGGCCCTCGTGTCACTTCATCTGGTTTGCTGGGGCCTTACAACCCCAACCTGGAAGCTAACACGAGCAGCAAGCGGTCTGTCGCATGCAGCAGCCGAAGACCAGGACGTCAAGCAACACAGCACAGCCGTAAAAACGTCTCCGTTTGTACACGAGGTCAGTGCTTGAAGTCCCACAGGAAAGCAATCCAGTGCACGAAAAGCAAATACCCGACATAGAAGAATGGAAAACTGCCTCACTGCTCCTGCCAGGCGTGCGAGATGTGCATGCAATGCAATGATGTCAACCTCGGATTCATCCGGAGGACCCTTTTCTTATCAGGGTTGGCTCCGGTTCGGGAAACTCTACTTACCTTTTGGGATTCTGAAGTCAACCCCAGCGATTCCATTTCCTTGCATAGTGGGTAACCAAGAAAGCCACCCTTCACAGACCGCTAGAAACACATGCAGATTACTCTTGTGTGGCTTGCCTGGGATCTGGGAACGGTGCTTGCATCGGTCTTGCACGCTGCTCCTTGAGACGGTCGTTCAGAACCTAAGGCCCGACATGAAAAGTAGGTCCCGGGTGTTCCAAAGGCCACCCAAATTGAAATGATGCAGAACGCACAACCCATAAACTAACATGCTCAGGACATGTTGGTTGCAAATCAGAGTGAAGCAACATATTCAATCGCAACTTGAAAACAAATGCATTTGTATCTTCAAAAATCATTCCGTGGAGCATGATATTTGTCTCATATGGCCTGATCATGGCTCGCGTCATCCGGATCATGATGGCGAGAATTGAATTGTTCCACGGGTTGGCAAGATTCTCTGGGAACCCAAATTGTTGAGACAACACAACAAACACAACATATTGCCACAGCTGTGCCAATGTCCAACTTCCAACTAAGCCCAGCACGACCAGCAACGACTCTACGTATGATCACCGAAAAGTGCAGTGAAGAGTTCAACCTGAGTTCATCCACCAAGCAGTACACATTCACATTTGCAATTTGCAAGCTGCACACACATTTTCTCCACAAGTTCAACAAGTGAGCATGCACTCTACTTGGTTAGCCACCTGAGTTCTAAGCCGCTTGTGAGGCAAAGTCCTAAGGGGACAAATCAGTGGCCAAGTTACAACTCACTTACTAACAGCCAAGTAGCGAAACTGCAGCAGGTGAATTGCCATGGAACCGGAAGGATTTCACAAAGGTTCCGACAGTGGAATACGCGGGATTAACACGCGAGATTGTACGAGCTTCACAGGGCCTTTGGTTTTGCTCGATCTGCTTCCGATTTCGCGCTTCTTGTCAGCAGTACTGCGCAAAGCACCTCAGGTTATATACGTTTTGCAGGCAGAACATCATGCATTTGGCTCATGTTACTCGCTGCAGGCACCGAGAGTGCAAAAGTTGATGCACAACTTTGTGCCATTTCCGGCTGGGTTGCTCTCTGGATGGGTGGAATCCTTGCGCCCATTCATGTAATCAATGATGTGATGTTCAGCGCTTGTTGACCAATCGAAACAGCATGAAGTTCCCTCATGGCATACCTGATTTTGCTCTTATTGTATGAATTCACATCAAGGGGGTGATAGAAAGGTCCTCTACATGGGATGACCATTGAGCAAAACCAAAAAGAACAACTTTGTCACATGGGAAAATTACCCATGGTCATTTGGCTAATGTTGATCAACCCAGATTTGTGAAGTTCGTTTTTGATACAGTGAGTATCGGTCTGTCTCAAAATAACCCCCCGCTCACAAAAACAAAGTTGGCTTCCCCGTGGTTTCCCTTTTAGCCGAAGGGCTCCCTGCAAAAGACACCCCCATTTGCCACGGGTTGGTTGTTCTCATTTCGGGCGGAGCTGGGTCACTGGCTTTTGGATTGCCCCGGTCGTCCGCACCTAAAGCCAACCGATTCACCGATTGACCGGTTCGACTTAAGGGTCAGAAAGGGCATCTGGGTTTGTCTCAACTTGGACCCCCAAAATGGTTGGCTTCCTATGGGTGTCCCTTTGAAACCAGCCAAACTGGGGACCCGCCAAAAACGGCACCCCCATCTCAGCGTTCTTGTCCCTTTAAGACCTGAAGCAGAGCAGCTTTGCATCCAGGCTTAAAAAACAAGTGCTGCAATTGTGGAAGAAGATGCTGCTATAGACATGAAAGGACAATTACCAGGTTGAGTTGCTTTTCAGCACGCAAAGCGCATCGCTGGAGATCGCCTTCTCGAACGACCAGATCGATGCATGCGCTCAAGGCCCCGACGTTCTGCTGCCTGGCAACTAGCCACTGGCTGGCGGCTGATTTCCCCATGGAAATTAGATGTCCAAAGGGTCCCCAAAGTTTCCTAGGTCCTCCACTAGAGAGGTTAGAATAAGGGTACCAACTTTTTGCAGTAGTCTACTTTAGCAGGGGAACGCTCCCAACCAAAAACGGGTAAAAGGGTACTACTGGCGGACCTAGCACACCTCACATCTCACATCTCACCATGGCTTCACAGCATGCAACTCGCAGATGGTCCAAACGTCGATCTCTGTGTGTCTCTCTGTGTGTCTCTCTGTGTGTCTCTCTGTGTGTCTCTCTGTGTGTCTCTCTGTGTGTCTCTCTGTGTGTCTCTCTGTGTGTCTCTCTGTGTGTCTCTCTGTGTGTCTCTCTGTGTGACTTGTCCACTTCACTGAAATGGGTGATTTTTTTCTGGGGACCCCCAAGAAGGTGGTTTTCCTTTGGGGCTTCATGGGGCTTCCTTTAAAACCACCAAAAGGGGGACCCTCAAAACAAGACACACCCAAATGGCGTTCCCAAGCGTCAAGTCCACCAAGTGTTCAACAGAAAACAAAGCTGGTTCAACAATTCCAAACCACAAAGGGTATTCGCAACAATGACACACCCGCATGAGCTCTTGCCCTAAGCGGTCATGGAGCCACGTCATGGTTTATTAATACTTCGCGACATTAGCATAGCACTTGACCTCCCCACATGATACTCTTTAGCTGGACCGTTTTGATTGGACCTCATATTGTCAATATGTCTTCTAACGGGACCGGACCCCCCTCCAAAAAAAACAAGAAAAACAAACAGCTCGCTGGCTTTTGCCACTCCAAAAGAGGGGTACCCCCCAAAAACGACACATCAGGAGTTCTGGCAATGTGCGACCCGCGCCTGCTGCTGACCACTCCTCAAACCAAAACCCGCCGAAACTCGAAGCTCGAAACCGAAGCAAAAAACGTTTGCGGCTCCTGACTGAAACCAAGAGCTTCAAGCTGCCCCCATTTCTTGGAGAGAAACAAAACACACCCACCACACAAAATTGGACGCTTCTTGTTTTTCTTTGGGGGGGTTTGGGGGGGGATCAGTTCTTTCTTAGGTTCAAGTCTGGGGATCAAAAGGCCAGGCTCCCAGCTTGCCGTGCCAATTCCGGGCCACCTGAAGCTTCCGATTTCGCTTTTGGCAGGTCGCTCGGTTTATTTCTCTCAGGTCGCCATTTTTGGGGTAAGGGGCTGCGGATGGTTTACCCTCCCTGGACTCGAATGGGCGCAAAGCAACATGTCAGCCTCCCAAGAGCCAATAAACCGCCTGTCAGCCTGAGAAGGGAAAGTGTGTTTCAGGAACCTGCAGGTTCTGTGTTTGGGAGGGTCCCACAAACCGGAGGGTTTTGGTTAGAATCAAAACCGACGCATTCCGGAATCGGTGGAAAGGGGCCAGCCTGGCCATCCCACCGACCTGAGCCGCAGTCGCTGAACCAAAAGGGGGTTCACCAAGAAAAAGACGCACCCTCTCACTCTCTCTCACTTCCATTTGCAGTTCAGAAGGGAAGGACATGTCGAACAAGAGGCGCGAGAAGCAAGTCGGCGCCACCGGTATTCGAGCTTCCCCTATTTGGTCTCTCTCATGGACCCCTGTCTGTGTCTAGGTGCCTCGACGGCGGTCCAAGAGCTTGATGCGACCCACTGCGCTGCACGCATACACCGGAGGAGGCCTGAAGGAAGCGCTCGCAGAAAAAAAAAGATCGTCGCCTTCCGAAATGCAGATGTGGCTGAGGCTGAGAGGCGGAGTGCAAGGCAGCCAACAAGATTGGGTCGGTGAACCATATGCTCAAAGTACTTGTAGCGGGTGGGGAACAGGCCACTTTCTACAGCTTGTCTTTGCTTTGAGTTGGTCATTTGGGGTGAGAGACTCGAAATCGCCAAATTTGAGAAATCACAAATTTCTAAATCCAGCTTCTTAGAAGAAAGGCAAACCTATAGCGGTTTTTTCGGTGCTCCCGCCTGGTACCACGCCGGAAACGGAGCGGCGCCTGGCGGCTGGAAGAAGGACGTTGCTGGTGCTTTTTGAAGCCACACCCTGGGAACGCGTCGTTTTAAGAGATAACTATACAGTGCAAATAAGAGATAACTATACGGTTTTCAAGAGATAACTATAATGTCACTGTAGCCACTGATTTAGAAAGAGATAACTATGCGGTGTATGCCAGCCCAAATATGTTCGCCAGAGCTTGAGGGGGTGGAAACCGTCTTACAGCATCCGGCTTCCGTTGGAGAACGCTGTATGGACATCACAAATACACTCCGTCTGCTTCCACTGCGGAAGAGATTACATCACGCCATCGCCGTTTTTGGGAGGGGACTCTCCTTAGTCGGCTTCGGGAAGCAAAGCTGGCTGGTCACCTAAGTTTGAGACAAACCCACGTGTTCCGTGCGAACCTCGCAAAGCTCCTCCTCTTCCTCCTCCTGAGGCAACAGCGAACACCCGAACTCCTAGCTGACTGTTTGCTCTACGTGGGCGTCATATGGTTCCTTCTTCATTTTCTCTCCGTTGTTTTGTTTTTCTTTCTTTCTTTTTTTGTGGGGGAGGAACCCCTTTCTGCCTGGTTTTAACGAGCAACTGAAAGGACAACCGAATTCATTTTGGGCGGTCCAACCTTAAAAAGACAAGCCCCATGGTCACAATTCCAGAGCCCTGACTCTCCACAAGCGCATGCGGCCACGGGCAGCCGGCGCTCCTCGCTATTGGAATCTGAGGACGACTCATCCTCGCGGAGCTCCTGTAAAGAAAAGCCAACGACTTCGTCAAAGGACCTCAAAACATGCTGCTTATTGCTTTCTTCTGGCTTTCCTGATGGCTTTGCGTAAGAAACACACACACACACATACCCAAAGCTCATGCTGCTTTTTTTGGGTTGTGTTTTTTGATCATGGGTGCTGAGCTGGCGCATTAAGAACCGCACCCAAATCGGGTAAGTGCTAAAATTGGGGGGGGGGGAGCAGAATGGGTACCCCAACTACAGCCCTAGCAGATGGAAACGAAACAAGGACTAAACCCTGCGGTCCCTTTGCGGCTGAATTTTGACCCATACCCAAATGCATGGTTCCCTTCCAGGGAGGAGCCGCGAGTCGGATTCGACAACCAAAGATCTCAAGTCTCGAGCGACGGACTTTCACGTAGCTGGGACTTGGCTAAGAAATGCTAAAGCTTCTTGATCCGGGCATGTGTCAAAATAGGGGACCCCCCTATTCATTTTGTGGGGAAAGGCGTATGCTCCAAAACCCCAAAGCACACTTTGTCAAAGTCGGACCCCGCAGCTCGAGAGCCCGCGCAAAATTTGTCTCCTCTACGGGAGCTTGTGGCGACGCCGGCTCTTCCTCATCATCTTCCTCACTGAAGCCACGGGCGACGTGCAGAAAGTTCGAGCTGCGGGCAACGGGTGATAACATTTCAGGAGCCTCTTGAAAAATACGGGCCAACTTACATCATCTATGGGCACTAAGGTTGTGGCATGCTTAGCCATTTGGGGTACGCAAGTTGGCCCTTGGACTAATCTCTTCTCTGGGTTTTGTAGCAGCAAATGGGAATTCCAACTCATTTTGGTTGAGTCACCCCAAACAAACTCATCTAGGCTCTCCATTAGAGAGGTTAGAATAAGGGTACCCGATGTGTTTTTCTTTTTGTTGTAGTCTATTTTAGTAGGGGAACCCTCCCAACCAAAAAGGGGTTAGAAAGGGCACTGCTGGGGGACCTAGTCATTGCCCCCTCCCGAACTCCATCCCAGCAACCGGCCAGGTTTACACCCGCCTCGGCCACTCCGCTCCCTGTAGGGATCAGGCGGTGCAGGAAGGACCTGAGACGACCAGCGTGTGAAGTCTGAGGCACCCGCGAGGATCGCGAATCGTTTCGGTACGGTGGACATCGTTGAGGTAAGGTGGACATTTCTGGGGGGAGAAACATGTAATCCGCTGTTGAGATGGCGAATTCACAGGGTTCCTTCGAACCAGACCTGAACCCAGGAGTCGGGTTTCCGTTCGAAACCTGAATAAGTTTCAAGTTTGAGTCCAACATGTCAAATTAACAACAAAACAAGTCAACAGACAACATGCCATTTCTTATAAACAAAAGTAGCAACAAACACAACAAACACATATGGACCCCTGCGCCATGAACTTCGGAGAGGTCGGCTTCAGGCCAAGACCTCATGGTGCCAGTGGCGCTGTAGAGCTGTGCCGGCGGCGGGTGCTGCAAAGGATAGCCTCGGCCGTTGCTTCCGCGCAGTGGACGTGGATGTGTTCCTGGATCGGGGTCCCCGTCAAGAGGATGGTTTCAAGAGGAAGCCCAACAGAGACCAACCTAAAGCAACACCGAGGGTTGATGAAAGCAAATGTAAAAGGGAAACTACAACCTATTTCGCGGGAGGGGGGGGGGCTCTACTACTTGGTTTTGCAAAGCATGAATCTGATAGATCCTTTGTTGGTTGATTTAGATATCTAATTTGTGTTGACATCCTTACATGAGCTTCTTTTGGTGGGGTTGGAGGGACATAAAAGCTGAAGGCAAAAGGCCAACTGATACCACCGCTGCTCTTTGCAAGAAATCTGCGCTCTTGTTGGGGTGCCCTTTGGGGTCCTGCCCTTTGGTTGTTTCTCAAAATAAGGGGTCCCATGGTTTCAAGAGGAAGCCAAAAGGAGACCAACTTGAAGTCGCGAATTTTGAGAAACACCCATGTATGTTATTGTGTGTACTATGTGTGTACTGTGTGTCTGTGCTTCTGCCTTAAAATTTGAAAGACCTTCGAAAGGCTACCCTCACAAAACAACCCCACAACTGGCCTGGTCAGCCCCACCCGCAGTAACAGTTGCTTCAGGCTGGGTTCCCGTTTTTGATAACCCCGAGGCAAACATATCGGTTTTCCTCTGGGTACCCTTTCTCGGTTGCTTTCTGCTCCCCTGCTAAAAGCTTAACTTTTAGAGGTTTGGCAAAAAGTTTAAAGTCCTCACATCCCTTGGCAACGTGCGCCAAAGCTTTGGGTCTTTGTTTTTTTTGCCAGTGATTCAGGTGAGTGCTTGCGGGTCTGTTTTCTGACGAGGTGCCGCAGCTGCCCTTGCTGGGCCCGCCAGCAAAGTATGGCCTAGGATCCACTCCCCCAGCCCTCACGACCAATCCAAGGGCTTCCCCAACAGAACAGGGGCAAATTAAGGCCCGGCTGACACTGACTAGAGGTAGGAACTTGGTCAGCTACATGGGTGTGACATAGCACCCACAAAATGGGGCTTCCCTTTGCGCCCTACTGTTGTGGACATTTGTGAAAATTGCCCTCATGGGCAAAGGACACGCTGTGTACCCATGTGAAGCTTCATGACATTCCTTCACAAGCCACTAACAGTGGACGTGAACTGTTTATCTGAGCCCAATGCTGGTAGCTGCGGGGCGTCACTGTTCGGAAGCCATGCTCAGCACAAGGATGATCATTCGGAAGAAACCACCTCAACGCAAGTGGGGGGAAAGCTTCGGCCTTTTGAAGCGTGTGCCGAAAGCGTGGGCGCCTGCACAGGCGGGCGCACGTGCGTGCGTACGTGCGTGGGTGTCTGTGTGTGTGTCTGTGTGTGTGTCTCTGTGTCTGTGTGTGTCTGTGTGTGTCTGTGTCTGTGTCTGTGTCTGTGTGTGTGTGTGTGTGTGTCTGTGTGTGTGTGTGTCTGTGTGTGTCTGTGTGTGTGTCTGTGTCTGTGTGTGTGTCTCTGTGTGTGTCTGTGTCTGTGTGTGTGTGTGTGTGTGTCTGTGTCTGTGTGTGTCTGTGTCTGTGTCTGTGTGTGTGTGTGTCTGTGTCTGTGTGTGTGTGTGTGTCTGTGTGTGTGTGTCTGTGTCCGTGTCTGTGTCTGTGTGTCTGTGTGTCTGCGTCTCTGTGTCTCTGTGTCTCTGTGTCTCTGTGTCTCTGTGTCTGTGTGTCTGTGTGTCTGTGTGTCTGTGTGTCTGTGTGTCTGTGTGTCTGTGTCTGTGTCTGTGTCTGTGTCTGTGTGTGTCTGTGTGTGTCGTTTTGTATGTGTGTGTATTGTTTGTCCATGTTTGTCCAATTCTCAAACACACCAGCGAATCGGACGGGCAGTCGCAGTACTTCTCCACATGGCAGGGCTTTCTGGTAACCAGGGCTGGGCTCGACAAATACCCCAGGACCCTGTTGCCCTCTAAGCCGGCCACGAAAAGGGCAGCGCCTTGCTGCACAAGGGGCACCTCCAGCGTCCCAAATTGGTCCACCGGGTGGGTGCAAGCGTTGGTCAACTTACCGACAGGGGCTTCCTGGCTTATCTCCTTTCAAAGGGACCGGGCCCCGAACGTCAGGTTCCATGTTACTTGGTGGGAGGCTACTATGTTAATTGGTGGGAGGCTACTGGGCTTCGGCTGTTGAGAAAGGCCGCGTCTGGAGGTCCCCCAGTTTTCTGTGGCGCACCCTGCTTCAAAACCATGCTTCGATCGCGGATTCGTCCAAAAATGCTGGGTGAAGCCAGCCTTTCCTACTAGTACGGTTGCCGTGGGGAGCCTACAAATGGACAAAATAGCACGCTTTAGGGAAGCAAACGGCCTTGCCAACTCCACCCTTCTCGCTGGGTGCCGAGCTCAGGAGTGTCGACTCTGTTGATGCAGACCCTGGCCGCGGCAAGGAATGAGGAACGAGCTAGGCAACATCCATACAGGGGCCAAAACATCATGTTACATATTATATATATATATATATTATGAATGCGGACCCTTTGAACTTAGGCCGTTTTAGTAGGAGGCCCTTGATTTGACAAAATGCGGAAGTGGAACGAGGTAGAACTCTGGCAATTTTTGTTCAAAGCAGCATTCAATGGCGCTTGCATGCTGCTGCTTACATGGCTCACTTGAAATGCACCGTGCCGCGGCCTGTGGAAATGATGCTTACCTTGGCAATATCAGGGCCGTCGCTTGCGAAGCAAAGGCCTTTGGGTCATTGCTCGGGCATTGGGCAACTGGAAAAACCGATTTCAATCACCGTCCCGTTGTTCTGTCCCTATCCCTGGCAAAGGACGCTTGGTTTTCCTATTCTGATTACCCTCCCCTGGAAGACCAGTTTCCTTTTAAAGGGACCCCCGGTCAGGTTCCGTGTGAAAAGGGTGCGAGGGTGATTCCAACTCAGCCACGAGCTGCTGGCTATAGGTCAGTCTGGGCCGCAAGCAAGGGGTTGTCACAACTGCCTCCATCATCAGGGGCTCTGAGCACAGCGAGCAGTACCTATGCCAAATGGCTCATGTGTCCATGTGGGTCCGTGCCAAAGGTGGACCCCCAAAATGGTAGGCTTCTTTCAGGTTTGCCTTTAACCAATCCCAAAAAAGGTTACCCTCCAACAAAACACACACACACACATTGATACGCCTTCTCTCACGCCCCCGTCTGACGAATGGCCCGGCTCTGCCCCTTTGCAGGCGAGTTCACTCAGAGCTGAAGGGAGCCATCTCACAAATTCTTTCCAGCGCAAACACCTAGATAAGAAATAATCTAAGGATAAGACATCGAGGGGCTGAGATTTGCCCACCTGCTGGATTCCCCCACCAATTTCAGGAACATAGGAATAGACTTTTTCGGGGCTGAACAACTCTGCTGGATGTCCCCACAAACTTGTACAAAATGCAGCCAAAAGCCGCAACAACGTGGCCTCCAAGGCCTCCAATGCCGCTCTAGTTCTCGAGGCGTTCTCGGCGTTCTAGGCGTTTTGCGTGTTTTTTTTGGCGCTGTTTTTGCGGGCGTTTGACCCTTTTTTTCGGGCGGCAACTTGCGGGCGTCTCCTGTTTCCAGGCGTTTGCGGTAATTTGCGGGCGTTTGCGTCCAAAACAGAGTCAATGCCGAGAATTACTAGGAATTCCTTGATGATTGAATCTCCAGGCTGCCAAACCAAGACGAGGTTAGGAAATTGCTAAATTCAGCCCTGCCCCGAAGTGGTACGCGCCCTCTTAAAAGGTACACTCTCAAAAACACCCGGGCCCTTCTTTTAGTGTCATTTCAACCCTACTCTAAAACTAAAGTCACAACAAACAAAAACATCAAAAACATAGAAATCCCGTGGGCCACGATTGCGAGAGCATTACGCGCGCACAGGGTCCGTGTATACGCGACGTGTTTTACGTCGTGCCCTCCGGCGCGACGCTCGAAGGTTTGGAACTTGCCACAAGGTTGCACAGTGTGCTTTGGCGGCATATGGCTGTGGTTGTCAAAACCGTTTGGGATCCCATTTTGGTAGGTGCGCCACCCATTTTGGAACCTTTTTTAGCGGGGATTGGGATGTTCACTGGGGGGACGACTTGGATTTTGACCCATGGCCATTTGACATTTGCAGCCTTTCAACAAAGTAATTAAGTAGTACACAAAGAGCCTTTGAGAATCGCCCCCACTCGCGAATCGGTAGAATCGTTTTACTTGTGCAAAACGTTCTCCTTTGGCACAGTCCCAAGGTGGGAAACCGAAGCTAGCAATATACTGCGTTGACTGGCCAATGATGATCAAACTGGATAAGAGGGCGCTAAACATCAAGAGCGCTCTGTCTTCCTAAAAATCGTAACTTTTATAGCACACACACGTCCGCATCTCCGGCTGGAAAGCTGCAGCTTACAAGCTTGCTTGCCAACTTGTAAGAACATCCTCAGAGTCTTTCAAGCCTACTCAAAATGAAAAGAAGGTTTGTACACATGGGTGTTTCTCAAAAATGGTGGACCTTTTCAATGCTAGGGGACCACTACTTTGTGTGGCAAGCGGCAAACGGCGCTAAGATAAGGATACCAGATGCTCGTTCGACTCAGTTTTATCCATTCGACGCCTTCACACACCCTCGACGCTGAATATTATGATTTCTCAATTGGGCAGAACTTGCTCTTTTGTGTCAGGGCCGCAACAAAGCGCTGGGTCAGTGTTGCCGTGTGTCGGCATGCATTTTGTTCCATGTATGCACAGGGCGCCTCCTGCCCAAACACCCAAATTTGCCCTCAAATTGTGAAGTGTTGCCAGAGAGCGCAGTGTTGGCAAACAATTATACACATTTTGGAGACTGCTTAAATATGTCCCCTTTGTTGTCAAAATGGCAAGCATTGCGATTTCACGGTCACTACTCGAAATTTCACGGTCATTAGGAGCAATTTCACGGTCATTAGGCAAAATTTCACGGTCAATGGGTTTTACAAATGTCATCAAATGTCCGGAGTTGAAGCTAACATCTCCTGTGAACGAAAGGCAAGCAGATCATTCAGTCATGTATCCTACAAACAAGTCAACAGAACAGCTTTGACCTTCCGCGGCCACACGGATGTTTGACGCCGAAGCCGGACATGTGCCCCCAAAACAAATCCATGTAAGAGTGAAACATTGCAAACCTCAGCGATGCCGGAAACGTAATGCACAAACGACTGCTCCTCACACTCTCGCACCCATCGATTGCGTATATCAAAGACAAAGGAGCCTCTGGGATACACTCAACCAAATGGACGACAAACTATCCGGGCAATGCTTCAAGCAACACTAAATAGGATTATGCTCGTGTGTCACGAGGATTGAGTCATAGGTTGACATGGGGGGGGTGCGCCCGAAATGTGAAGGATGCGGCACATGTTGTCGTCCAAGGCGAAGGGATCTCCGGTAAAGGCGAGCTGAAGCCATTGCCTGAGTTGCCGAACTCGGCCGAACACGGGCCGTTGAAACATGTCTGGCACCAGGCCGGTGAAACCCGTGGTGTCCCTTTCCAACCTCAACGAGGGCCTTCAAAAACACGCCCAATAGGAAGAGAAAGGCAGCCAGCTGGAAGTTGTGGCAGGAATTGGGGCAATTTGCTGGTATGCCTCATATTCCCAAGTCTTCCTGGCTCGAAAACAAACTTATTGGTCTCTTCCCTGGCCCCTTTGTGTCTTTGAAGCTTCGGAAGGAACTTTCGAAGCTCTGAGAGAACCTTCCCCGGCTTGGTATCTGCCGAAACCCCAAGCCAACGCCTGTCACTTGCGCCTAGCACATTTCCAGGGGTACCTTCCCCATTCTTTCCAGGGATCCGAATCTTTCCAGAAAACCTCCGGATACCTCCGGAAATCCTGGGAAAAAGGCTGTTTTTTGAAAAGAACGATGGTTGACAAGGAATCAACCCCTAGCACATCTACGTCCTCCAGTAGAGAGGCTAGAAGAAGGGCACCAACTTTTTTCTGTAGTCTATTTTAGTAGGGGCTCCCTTCCCCAGAAAAGGGGAGAGAAGGGCACTACTGGGGGACCTAGCACATTCTTTCTCCACCTTCGCCAGCACAGAACACCCTTGAGATCATGGCAGCTTTTGCGCCGCCTGCAGCGGCTTGTCCTGGCTCAGGATGCTGAGTCTGTGCCAAAGGGGCAGCAATCTGGGATTGGCAAGTGATTGGAGCCAGCCTGCAACCAAACCTATCTTCAACCAAACTGACCCTAGGTCTTTATTGTTTAAAAGAACAAAAAAAGCTAGGGCTGCGATTTGATGGTTTCCCTTTTGGACTCACTTCTTTTCCAGTCAAAATGGTTCAGCTGCCGCCTGGAACGCCTGGGATGGCAGCGTGTCAAAGAAATCCCCGGAGGCCGCGGCATCTGCGCCTTGCGTACCGAGCCCCCCGAAAACCCGAAACACGCGACGTGATCAAGTCTTCTACACAGGTCTACCCAAAATTCGTGTGAATGACAAGTGAATTACAAGGCAAGCCGCGCCAACTTATGGTTTCAGACCCTCCTTTGCCTTTGATCTACCTGGGTTTTGAATGCTCAGGTGGGACCTCTCGAATGACTTAAGCGGGGTCCCGCAACTCGCTGAAGTACCGACATGGGTACAAAGCTTCAACATTGGCAGGCAGGACTCTCTTCTGAAATTGCCAACTTGAGGAGGCTGGGGCATTCACTTGAGTGCAACCAGGTTTCCGCACCTAGCTTCAGGGTTGGGTAAAGGTCTTTCCCGCACCCTCGAATTGCACATGCTTTCTTTTGGAGGGTATGCAACCTCTTAAGGCAAGTTGTGTCTCGAGGCTGAAGCAAAGCATATGGCAGCGGCTCGCGCAAGGATTGAGACACAATGGAACAGAGATCCGATGCTTTACATTGCTTTGTCTTGGTCAACGTTCAACCTGAAGACCGGGGATTTGAAGCCTTTCTACCATCACAATGTAAGACGCGCACTGCTTGGCCATGTACTGCCTCAGCCGGCAGCTGTTGCTTCGTCACTTGCGAAAGGCGCTTTCGACTGTTACATGTGGCTGTCTGCATAGAAATCAACTTCCGGACAGCTTGCGAGGGCTTGACATGGCTCAACAAAGTCCTTGATTGAACATGCTGGTGGCTGCCTCCATTTTAAGCAACCCCCGACTTTTGCCTCATGTGACGCAACTCAAGGCCCAGGCAATCCGCCAGCAACACCTGTGCCAAGGCTTTCTCAAAGGATTCGGTCCAGTACAACTAAATTTTGAAGATTCTCTTGCCTGGGTCACTTCCATAACTACTCTCCCTTGCTAGCACAGAAAGTGGCAACTCAAAAGCCCAGTGTTCACAATGCTCAAGGGTCTTGGAGCAACGTGCAAGGTGTCATGCTCATTGCAAACTCTCCGCGGCTTTTTGGCGAATGGCCGATGTTCTCAAACAATACCCAGTGCTTCTCGCTTCCATGATAGTGGGTCACCAGGGAAACCATGATGTCCTAGAGG